TTACCACCGGTGGAAGTATATCGACGGCTTAATACCAAAGGCAAAAAAGACGGGGACGATGCTACTGACGATAAAACTTATCAAATCAGATTGCCAATGATAATGTGTCACCACACCTTAAGGTTAGATTACTCAATTTCCCTATAATTTAAATAGCAGGCAAAAAATATATGGAATATATATAGTATCGCATCTTATATCCTAAGGCTAAAGGGAGTGGTAACACTCTTAGCATGTTGTCACATAGGATTTTTAAGTTTTTTTTATGACACATAGGCTTAGCATCTAGCACAAAAAAGGTAGGGAGTGAAAGTGTGACAATTTAATAGGTTTAATTGTGAAGAAAAAAAATTAAAATATATAAAGAAATACAAATCAACCAATCACAACACACATTCATGCTTTCTCTCTCCTCTCTCCTCTCACTACACCCATGACATCTCTTTCTTAGCACCCTCCTTGACATAAGGTAGGGAGTGGTGTAACACCTTTAACACTTTCTTTAACACATCCATTGACACCTCCACTCCCTTTAGCCTAACTGAATCTACTTATAGTCAATGTAAATGAGTTTGGAAGTTAATTTTTTTATTTTAGAAAAATGATTCATTTACAAAAGATATAAGCTATCAAATAATTAAGGGAAAATGACTTGATAGGGTAAGATACTTTTTGAAATATACACATTTAGTCATTATTCTTTTTTTTTTGTAAAATAAACCCTTATACTTTATTTTTTGTAACAATGCAATCCTTGTGACCGGCTATACCCGGTATACCGGTCATATACGAATTTTCTTTTAGGGAAAATGACTTGATAGGGTAAGATATTTTTTGAATTGTACACATTTAGTCCTTATTATTTTTTTTTTTGTAAAATAAACCCTTATATTTTATTAATATGTACACATTAGGTCCTTTTCACCGGATTCTATAGGTTTTGCTGATGTGGAAGCACAAGTGGCACTAAATAGCAATTAATTAGCATAGTCACCGGAGGTGGGTGATCCTCCAGCAACAAGAAAAGGGCGGCGACCCTTCTCTTTCTCCTCTCTCTTCCTTCCGGTCGAACAACAACAGCCAAACACCCTTTAGCTATTGTGTTTCTCCGATTTGTCTCTCTTTGCCTCCATCTTTGAGATATGTTGCCAGAAAAAGAAGAAAGAATCGACGA